GAAGCTTCGAGTCGTCCTTTCGCCAGATGAGGGAGGACCTTTGTGGGCGGCTTTTATGTGGCTGAACACGAAGGGATGCAAGGTGAACTTCATCCGTGATGAGCTGCAACTCTGCTGCACTGATTGGATAGATTCTCAGATGCTCCTTCCCCACAGATTGCCTTGCCGATTCCGGTAGAAACATGCTTGCTGCTTTGTAGCTCCGGGATATCTGGTGCCTTGCAGGCACAAGCTGCAGAACTGCTTCTTGCGGGCCTTGCACTCCACCCCCAACGTCAGACGCAGCGATCTCAGTTGAAAAGATTGGTGATTTATTTTTGATTTTCTCAACACCCGATGATTGCCGGGCTGCTGCCGGCCCCGAGGCATGGTGAGTCTCACTGGCTGGTTGATGAAAGCTCGGCGAGCTCCTTGGAAAACCTGCGGCATAGGCAGCACATGGGCCGAGAGCGGCCAAAGGTACCTCCGCTGTGCACCTCGGCGAGAGTTGTCGTCGTTGTGGCCCTTTATCCCCCGCAACAAAGTTTCTGCCAGTGGAAGCTAGCCTCTCCAAGCAAGGCTTCCGAAGACGATTGCTTGCAACAGCTGTTTGCTCCGAGCATCCTGCGGGAGATCCTGGGCTGCTTCAGGGTTCTGGTGTAACTGTGTGCTAATTCGGTCGCCGTGCTGCTTGGATGACATGAGCACGAGTCCTTGACTTCAAGAGCCGGAATCAGGAACGGAGTGCCGTCCCTTCTCGAAGACAGACGGGCCTTTGAGAGAACCTGCGAACTCATCGACAAAGCGACGAGGCACCCCGTCTGCAAGTTTCCACACTAGACGTTGTGCAACATGCCACATGTGCTCGATGCGGTAACAGATAGCCGAGGTCTGTCACCGGACTCTACGACAACGGTCGATGGATGAGTTGGGCCCACAGTGCCCGGTCTTTTCGCAAGATCTACTCATCCACGCTGCTGCTGTTGTACTGGACTTGCATGGAAGCAGCTCGGCCTCACTCCTCTTCAGTTCTGCATGCATTTCTTCATATTTGCTGCTGGCCAAGCTTGGACAAGAAGCGATGTTGCCGAAGCTGAGGAAGGCCTGAACCCCTTTGCTCCCACCACTACACAATCCGGCCAGAGAAAAGTACGACAAGATCATCGATTTGTGTGTCAGAGACTCTCGGCTGAATTGAGTAGGAATTGCAAGTGCCTGTACTAGTCCCAGCACACTCGCAATGAATTAAGGCATTGGTGGATGAACACTCCCACTTGCTCTTCGAGTCCCTCCAATTTCTACTGCAGATTTTCTGTGAGATGGGAATCTTTCTGGCATCTCGGCTGAAACTGGGCACGCCAATGCACTTCGTGTCTGTTCTCCGAGCGCCAGCCTGAGTCAACACGTCATCTAAGCAAGACCACAAATCGGAGTTGGGCACACTCTACGCCCAGACCTTGTGGTGCCAGACAAGCATGAACGGCCGACTGTCGCGACTGCTTCGGGAAGCACTTAGCCCCAAGTGCTTGGACGTGCTCGAAGTCTCCGCCGACGTGGACGGCGCCGTCTCCGAAGGTCAAGAAGGAGCAGATGCTGCCGCTGGGCATTATATGTCCGTCTCTTGCAGTTCCTATGAGTCGCAAGGTCCTTCTTTGGTATGCTGCAATGTTTGTCTTGTTGTCCTTGACACATTGGGTATTTCGGGATGAGACTTCGTCAATGGTGCCTCCTGTGCTACCGGCAGTATACACGAATGAAGTCTCCGTCTTGGCCCTACATAATCGCAAGCGACCCCGGTCAATATTTGACCTGCCTAGGCTGGTTGATTTGAGGAGCCGGATGGCTGCTAAACCCGTTCTCGCAACATATTTTCACTAGGAATCCCCCTTACAACTAAGCGACCTCCTTGCTCTGGAAACCCACACATGAAGCCCTCTCGTAGATTGTCACAGCAAAGACCCGTTTCTACCTGCATGTCTTTAACCGAGTCTAGCCCCGCAGTCAGGGCCGAAGAAAGAGGTAAACAGCTGCAGCTAAAACCCGCACGCCTCCGGTGTCTAACAATTATGAGGAACTTTCTGAGCTTTTTGTCTCTGTTTTTATAGCAGTAGTCAGGCCGACAGTACACGAACCAGCTTGCGATGGGAGTGCTTCCACAAGACACCCGGCGGATTAGCCGCCACGGTGTTCGATGTGCCCTGGAGGCGGCTGCCCGCCCGATGCCAAAAACGTGACAGGTTTCAAGCCTCGGGTCTTGCTGGTATGGTCCAAACATGTCAGCTTTCTCGTTCCGCATAATTTCTAGACACCGGGCGGAGAAGCCGCCACGCTGTTGGATTCTACGTTCTGCTCAGGCGGCTAGCCCGCCAAAGACTTCGCCCAAGCCCTAAATCCCTGAACAGGGCGGGAAAGCCGCCAATGTGTCTGTCTGAAGCTTAATCTTTTCTGTGTTTCTAGCACATGCTCCTGTGCCTGAGGGAGAGAAACGCATCAACCTCCAGAATGTGTTTTTTGCACGTGTGGAAGCCCTAGGAATTCCGAAGTCTAGTTGTGACGTGCTCAGGTTTTGCCAGTCCAGTTCAGGAGATTGCCCATGAAGCAAGAGCTCTTGTCGGAGCATTGGAATGCCACGCTGACATGCCTGGCCGAGCTCGAATCCTACAGGCTCCACTTGCTGAGTGCTCCAGCATGTGCGGCAGCTTTTCTCGCCGAGAAGCCCAAGGAGCTTCAGGGCCTTGACTTTGACCTGAACCTCCTGGATGCTCTCCGGACAGAATGGCACCTCGTCCTCAAGCTCGAGGCGAAGCAGGCGACGGCGGACCTCCTCCACACCTTGTGTCCGCAAGTGCTTTTTCAGACGTACAGGGAAATCCTGTCGACTCTGGAAGTGGAGGGCTTCTGCAAGACGCCAGAATTCCTGGCTTTGGTCAAGGCTTGGTTTCCAGCCTTGACTCAATCAGCCAACGTGGAAGATCTATTTAGCGACATGCAGGACTGCACGAAGCGACAGACGAGAACGGAGACTGCTTCGGTCTGCAACCTCTCGGCCGTGGGAGTGAAAGGCCTCATGAAGAGGCTTTGCGACCAACCCGGCAAAAGTGCGGGAGTCACCTTGTCCGACAGCGACTTCTCGGGACGCGAGGTTCGATGCCTCAAGAGCAAGCTCTTCTCGCCCGACGCTTGCCCCCCAGGACACCAGGTTGAAGTCTGTGGGTCCTGTTGTCACTGAAAAGCTTTGTTTTCTGCAGAACTTTAACTTGTCCGCATGAAGAAGTGAGGGCATCAGATGTGGTAGCTTGGAATCCACCGCTAGGAGGGAAGATGGATCTTGCCAGGGTGCTTTAGCAATTTCCAAGTCGGAGTTTCCAGCTCTAGCGAACATCAGAAATGACTTCTTGTGCGGAACAAGCAGACAGCCAGGCAAACAGCAAGCAGGGGACATCTTCTCGGAATCTCCCGTGTGCAAACATCTTGTCTGACTCTGCCCATGTGAGGACATGGCCCACATGTGGACGGCCTTCTGAAAGAAGCTACCGGCAAATCTGCCCACATGCACAGCAAGCAGAGCGAAAACAACATGAAGGGGCTGCTGCTCGCACACAGGTATCTTGGATGGAATTTCTGGTTGCACTTTGGTGCGGACGGTGCTGTACCGTTACTAAACCTTT